AGTTTAGAGATTCATATGTTTATAGTTTAGAGATTAATATGTTTATAGTTTAGAGATTAATATTTTTTGCTTTTTGTTTGTGAAACCAGGTCAGAGGAAGCTGGTTCTGGTTCGGTGATTGGACCCGGTGTTGCACCATATTCTGCGACCTGCAACAGTGCATGCAGCACCGCCCCCTACGGTCACAATATACGGTGGTCACAGAACATGGTGTAACACCGGTTCCATCAACAGGAAGTTGATTAATTTTCTGTTTCCAACTGAAGAAGAGCGCCGTGAAAGTTCGTGGTCAAGACGGTATTACACCGAGTTATCATGGGAAAATGAACATCCGTCCGCATGGACGAATCCATGTTGTAGCTTCTACTAGCTAGCCCGCGCTCGTGCGGATCACGTGATGCAATGACATCACTGCGATGTAATGACGTCACTATGAATACTTGATGTGAAATTTAAAACCTCCATAGATGTCCTAGGAATCGATGTGTAGAGTACTCGAGTAGTGTGTTAAAGCCCTAACGGAGACGTACCTTTCCATGCTGTCACCACCTGTCTCAGGTAAGATACTGACTCTCAGTGTTTAAACTGCTCAGGGGGCCACAGAGCTCAGGGGCCGGACAGTTATTCTCATTCAGTTTGTTTTAAATTTAGTTTGATTTAACAATGAAAACGGCCGAACTGAGCGCACCGGTGGCCCTGATTTGGCCCCCGGGCCGCCAGTTGAATACTAGCCAACATTAAATTCCGCCCCCCACCCCAACAAAGGTGTTCACCGGTGGGCAGGGGCGTGTGGATCTTCTCCCAGTCGTCGCGGTTCCGTTCGATCAGGTCCTGCACCAGTTGTCTCTTCAGGTCTTTGTTCTTGAAGTGCTGCTGCGTCTTGTCGTAGAAGACGGGCTGCCGGAGCCAGAACTCCGCCATGGTGCCCTGGTGCCCGTTCCTCCAGGGGTACTGCCGGTCCCCGTGCGCCGCGGGGGTGTACTTCCTCTTCTTCCTCTCGTGAGGAAGACGCGCCGCGGCCCCCCTCGCCTTGCTGGGCGGCATGGTGGCGAAGCGTCGGAGCGAGCGCACCAAAGATGGCGGCGAGCCGTTTGCGAGGAGTCTCATTCGCCTCGGGGAGGCTGAAGTTTGGCACGGAGGATTGCACGAGTGTCGCAATTTATTCGCATCGTGTTTGTTTCGTGGTTTTAGCTTATTATAGAGTCGCGGGCGCTCTTCCGCCGGGTGACCGGTACAAGTCAGGATAAAACGTTAGATTAGAAGCAGGGCGAGGTGCGGCGGGTGACTCGCGCTGCTGCTGCGGAACTTAAACTTCTTTCCGTCCTTCACAATAAAAGCCTCAAACATGAAAACCCTCTAAATACCTGAAATATATGAATCCAGCTTCGGTTGTTATTGTTGGAGTGAAACACACTGCAGCCCAAACCATAAGGACTTTTGAGAGCTTTTTAGGGTCAACACGTCATGTTTGAGACTCTTATTGTCAAGGGTTAAAGATGGATTGTAGAAAATTAACAATAAATTCAAACTTGTGCACCAATTTTTTATTTTGTTGTTTCCTCAAAGAGTTCATTTTCTTTGTTAATTATTTTCTGTTCATAATTTCTGCTTAATTTTTTTGTCGTATCAACTGTGAACATGTTTTTCTTGTTATATTACATTTTGTATTTGTTTTTCTTTCAATAAAGACAAAAAAAAAACTTGTGCGCCAATTTCTTGTTTTGAGAAATCACTAAAGTTGCATGTTATAATTATATATATATATTTATGGAAGTCAATTTTAGCCACTTTTTTTATTCCAGTCATGGAAACAAGATCCTCCAAATCACTAATATGATTTATCTCATGTTGGGGACTTCTCATTATTATATTATGATAAATTGTATCATATAATGTGTCTTATTATTTCAAAATTATAACTCATTATGTCATAGTTATGATTTTATGATGAAGTATTGTTACATATTTATGATTTAGCATTTTTTAGATAAATTGTCTCACAACATGACTTTCGTCTCATAATTATGAGATACCATCTTATTATTCTTACTTCACAGTTCATTATGATTTAACATTTCATAATTTTGCAATATATTCTCAACGTTATAGCCTCCCAGAAATAATGTATAATATGAGATACAAAATAGAAGCTTAGTATTTCTCAACATATTACATAGTATCTAAGTCATTTTGAGATGCTTTGTCATACTTTTGAGACATGTTAAATTTATAATTTATGGATATTTTAATCATTGTAGCAGAAATAGGTTTCCATAACTAATTATTCCACTCTGGCAAAAGAAAAACAAAATTTATAAACCTGAAATTTATATGACATTCATAGTAAACTGTTGAAGTCAGCCCTGTCTGTTAGCAAAATATCTCGTGAACCACTGGACAGATGGAATCGAAACCTTCATCATTTTTTCATTAACTTTAGTGAGTCCAGTTCAAGATGGCGCCGCAGCCTAAGAAAAGATTAAAAATCATATGTTGAGCTAAAATATTAGTATATAAAAACGAGTTTTTGTGGCTGAAAGTCACAAACTTTAGCTGCTGAGCTGGAGTCCAAACCTCCAGCATGCCGCGGCGGGCGATATGCATTCCTTCACGGAATAATGTTTTTTTTTTAAACAACTGATTTACTTTAATTTAATTTATTTACATATATTCCTTCACGTTATTTAACTGATCTGATCACAGCTGAGATCGATGACGATTAAAAAAAAATTATCAACTGGTTTTCAATTGGTCGCGCGCGTCACGTGACCGCTCCATTGTCCGCAGAGCAGGGTGTGTTCGGGACGCGGGCTGTGCGGGGCTGTGCGGGGCTGGGTGTTTCCTCTCTGCAGCATCCTTCTCTCGTGTCATCGCTCCACTTCTGTAAAGGTGCTCCGGATGGAGAAGATGCTGCGGGCTCACGCGGGATGAGGTGGATGACGTAGCTGCTGTCACCTGCGTGGAGGAGAGACATCCGTCTGGTGAGGAGGCAGGTTGCTCTAATGTCTTCTGGTAAAAGCTGCGAGTGTGTGAGGGTGGTGGTCCGCTGCAGACCGTTCACCAAGAGGGAGGAGAGGGTGGAGAACATCTTGGAGGTTGATGACAGACTGGGGCAGATCACCATCAGGAACCCGAAGGCACCACCTGATGAGCCCCTGAAAGTCTTCACCTTCGACTCTGTGTTCGGCTGGAAGTCCAGACAAAGCGACATTTACGACGACGCAGTGAGACCTCTGGTGGACTCCGTCCTCCAGGGCTTCAATGGCACCATCTTTGCCTATGGACAAACTGGGACAGGTAAGACCTACACCATGCAAGGGCTTTCATCCGACCCAGAGAAGAGGGGTGTTATCCCAAACTCCTTTCAGCACATCTTCACCCAGATATCTAGAAGTCAGAACCAGAAGTATCTGGTCAGGTCTTCATACCTGGAGATCTACCAGGAGAACATCAGGGATCTTCTGTGCAAAGACAATAACAAGAAACTGGAGCTGAAGGAGAATCCCGACTTTGGGGTGTATGTGAAGGACCTGTCTTCGGTGGTGACGAAAAACGCAGCTGAGATCGAGCATGTGATGAACATTGGAAACCAGTCCAGAACCGTCGGGTTCACCAACGTCAATGAACGCAGCTCCAGGTCTCACGCAATCTTTGTGGTCACCGTAGAGTGCAGCGAAGCAGGTCCGGATGGCGAGGACCACATACGGGTTGGGAAGCTGAACATGGTGGATCTCGCTGGCAGCGAGCGCCAGAGCAAGACGGGCGCCAAGGGGACCCGACTGAAGGAAGCTGCCAAGATCAACCTGTCCCTCTCGGCGCTGGGGAACGTCATTTCAGCTCTGGTGGATGGGAGGAGCACCCACGTCCCCTACAGAGACTCCAAACTGACCCGTCTGCTCCAAGACTCGCTGGGGGGCAATGCCAAGACGGTCATGGTTGCAACAGTGGGGCCCTCGCACAAGAGCTTTGAGGAATCTCTGGCCACGCTGCGCTATGCCAGCAGGGCCAAGAAGATCAAGAACAAGCCTCGGATCAACGAGGACCCCAAAGACGCTCTGCTCAGGGAGTTCCAGGAGGAGATCGCCCGCCTGAAGGCTCAACTGGAGGAGCGAGTGCTGCTCGCCAAGGAGAGGAGGAGGAGGAGGAACAGCAAAAGACTGAGTAAAATCATCGCTATGGAGGAGGACTTCCTGTTTCACAAGGATGCAGATGTAGAGGAAGAACATGGGAGAGACCGTCTGATGGAGGGAGGTGGTCATCCAAAGGTTCTGACCCGACAGGGCGGCAGTGAGAGGTTAAAACACTTTAACAGAAGAAGTCTGGAGGACATTCAGTGGGATCAGGAAGCAGTGGAGAAGATTATAGAAAAATATAAAGTAAGTACAGAACAAAAGTCTTTTCACTGCCAAATAAATCTGTTCATGATCAACTGGACGTTTGTTCACAGGCTATGGAGAGCAAACTGCTGGTGGGAGGAAAGACCATCATAGATCACACCAATGAGCAGCAGAAGATGCTCGAGGTGAAGAGACAAGAAATTGCAGAACAGGTAATATTAGTAATAGTAGTCTGTTAGCAAAATATCTCATGAGCAAGGGAAGAAATCTGAAAATAACCACTGGATGAACATTTGATTGACACCTGAAGTCAGTCCCATTCAAGATGGCCGCCACAGACAACTGGCCTTAAAAAGACAAATAAAAAAAATACCTGAAACTTCATAAAGTTATAGAAGTAGGATTTCATGTGGTAGTAGCAGAGACTGATCTCCACTACACATTTTGAGCACGGTCAGATTACGCAACATCATTGTTTAACATTTTTAATTAATTATTTGGAGTGAACTCTGTTAGCAAAATATGTGAACTCTGTTAGCAAAATATGTGAACTCTGTTAGCAAAATATGTGAACTCTGTTAGCAAAATATGACACCATTGGACTGATTTTAGTGAAACTTTCAGGAAATAATCATTGAATGTACACGTGACGTGCAACTGAATAAATTGGGATCAGTCCAATTCAAGATGGCCACCGTAGCTAATCAACTTTAGCTAACACAAAAGTGGCTGTAATTCTGTCAGATTTACAGAAAAAATGAGCTAAAACGTTGTAGAAGTAGCTGAGAGTCATGCCCAACACATATTGGAGCATCTATGGGAGCACATGTTATTTTCATGGTTTGACCAAAACGTCTACAACTTTGTTTTTTCAGGAAAGTCTTAGTTTGAAAGTGTAGCAGGAAAGGCCAACATGCATTCCTTCAAGGAGGTCTTTAATTTGTGTCTCGCTTTGCTCATTTCAAAACACCTGAGCTTCTGGTAAAATATTTCAACTTGCTCATGAGAGATATTCAGACTGGATGGTTTTGTTTGACAGATTAGAGGAGAGCGGGAGATCCAGCAGCAGATGATGCTCCAGGACGAGGAGACTCTGGAAATGAAAGAGACGTTCTCCTCCCTGCAGCAAGAGGTGGAACACAAGACCAAGAAACTGAAGAGGGTGAGATGGCTCACACACACACGCGGCAGAAATGTCATTTTTGAAGTTATTTGTAGAAAATTAATGACCATAGTCAGACAGACCGACCCATGGACAACTTTGGGACCTGACTGAACGTTGTTGGATGTCTCCTCCTGGATTACTGAGCATGAATCGGGACGTTTTGAACCACCACAGTTCTTACACAGTGTTACTCCAACTCACTTGAGTGTGCACCAAAAACATTTAGGTTTACGATACTTGTATTCTCTGTTTAATTCCAGTCCAGAATAAAAATCGATAACTACAAACATTCACGATCAAAGTCCCTCAGCGACAGGGGACATCGGCTTACCGCTTGTTGTTAACGACTTCCACTTTCATGTACATATGTTCAGATTTTACCCAATAATCCCATTTTCTTTGTCCACTGCTTTTAGCTCTACGCTAAGGTCCAGATGTTGAGGGGCGAGATGAATGATGTCATCGATGAACACGTCATGACCAGGCAGGAGCTCGAAGAGACGCAGGATGAACTCACCCGTGAGCTCAAGTACAAGTAAGTCATCCTCACACACACGTAAAATCATCTTGGTGTTTCTTTTTTCTCCTCAAATGATGTAAACCCCATTTTTAATCTCACTTTATTCTGTTGGCACATAAAGACCTCAGAAGTTGACCAAAGTACTTTACAGTGCTGAAAATGAAAAACGACGAGAAGAACAAGGAAACAAATAAATCCTCCAACATTTTTCAGTCAGGTCATCTGGACAGTTTCTTTTTTTTTGTGCTGAAACATTTCACCTTCCATCCAGAAGGCTTCATCAGTCAAGGAAACACACAACACAAAACTGATTCTTCCCTCAACAGCTTACTCCAAAGTGGAACAAACCAGTTATGTTGGTGCTAAATTGGACTCTTTGGCACGCCCCCTCCTCCGGTGCCGGCACTCTTCCTTGTAGACAGTCTTGTCAAACTGGTTCAAAACCAACAAAGTCCATGCTCAATAATCCAGGTATACAATCCAACAATTTTTAGTCTGGTCATCTGAAAAGTTTATTTTTTTGTGCTGAAACATTTCACCTTCCATCTTAGCACCAACATAACTGGTTTGTTCCACTTTGGAGTAAGCTGTTGACTGATGAAGCCTTCTGGATGGAAGGTGAAACGTTTCAGCACAAAAAAAAGAAGCTGTCCAGATGACCTGACTGAAACATGTTGGATTGTATACCTGGATTAGTGAGCATGGACTTTGTTGGTCAAATCAATCCTGTTGTTAAGGAAACACAAGGAAAGTAAAAGCTTCAGCTCCAACTGGATCTCAGACTCCACCAGAATCCAAAGCCAAGCAACAACGATGAATGAAAAGTCTCAGCAGCTCAAGAGTTAAACCGTTCCACTGTTCAGGAGCAGCAACTGCAAAAGCCCGATGACGTCAATGATCCAGTTTTCTCCCCCACCTTGAAAAGAGTTATATTATGTAAAATAGAAATTAAATGTAACGTTTCATATGTGCTGAATTCTTAGGACTTCTCTGAAGGCGTTGAAGGCCCTGCGAGTCCCCCGCTGCATCCAACTGATGAACTTTTCGAGGCAGCTTGATCCAAGATGGCTGCCACAGCTAATTAAACAAGTCAAATCTAAGAAGTGGAGGGAAAAATATCGTGTCTCTTCAGTTTGTTTTACACAGCTGTGTTCACGCGATGATGATGTTCACATCTTATGATAAATAATTTAGTTAAGTTTCTGCTGAAGTAAACAAACAAACCAAGAATACTCTTTACGTTTGAGATTTTTATTATGATAAGGATGATCGTTCATCATATTATTGTTGGTGTTGGTGTTAATAATAATGTTTTTGCCCGAGTGCGTATGTTCATTTGTCATATTATTTCTTGAACATCTGTTTGGAGTTTATTGAAACTCAAAAAGTCGTCAATGGATGCGCTTTGGAGTCCGCCACATTCAAGATGGCCACCACAACTAAGCAACTTTAGCAGTCGCAAAAACTTTTTCAGATAAAGTTTGACAAAGCACACTGCTAGTTTTTAGTGAGTTTACAAGGTGTTTTTATTCTAATAATTTTGCAGATATCTTCTGATTGAGAACTTTATACCCACTGAGGAGAAGAACAAGATCATGAACAGATTACACTTTGACGGTGAGGAGGACCAGTGGAAGCTCCAGCCTGTCATTCCATCAGAGAGGTCAGTAAATCCGTTTGACATCAAGTCCGTCTTCAACAAACTCAACGAGAACTAAACCTGGCGTGGAACAGTGGCGCAGCTAAAATCCATGATGCACAACAATTCTGCAAGATGCGATACATTTTGCACAGCTTGGGCACGGCTGTTCCCAAGAGACTTCTGAACAAGTACGCCATCTAAAAATCCAAGATGGTGGCCATTTTCCAAAATGGCTGACAATGGCTGTTGTCTGGACTTGGACTCATAAAGGAGACACAGCAGGTCTGTTGGACCACCGTTCCACTAACGGCCATAAATCCTCTTGTTGTTGCTCTTACTGATGTGTGCTACTTGTGTTGTGGGCAGCTGCGGTTGGAGCAGTCGTCCTCCAATGCAAGGGTTGGGGGTTTGATTCCAGTCACATGTTGAAGTGTCCCTGGGCAAGACACTGAACCCCTCGTTGCCTCTGATGTGTGTCCCATCGGTGCATGCATGTGATAAAGCTCTGATTATTCTTTGTAGAGATCTAGTAGAGAGCTGTTTGTGAGTGTGTTGGAGGTAAATGAGGACACAGATTTTGTTTTAGAGCTTTGAGTATCTTGATCAGATAAAAAGGAGCTGTATAAGTACAGTCCAGTTATAATTTACTTGCATAGTACAAGGCTAATGACGGAAGAAAACATGAATTGACACAAAGATCATTGAAACTGATAAAGTATTTGCGTTACTTCGTGATTACTGTGCAGAAATCAACTCATCTTGAAAAAAGGCCGATCAGGCAGATTTGACAAATACTTCAAAGAGAATCATCACACCTAGTTTGGTGCTTGTATCATAATTTGCACATGTTTTATAAAATTCTGCTCTATTAACAGGATGTAATCTAATTCTGAACTAAAAGTAAATAAAAGTATATTGGCTACAAATACTAAAAGTATTCCTGACTGAGCCGAAGGTTTTGATTCATGAATGATTACGTAGTGACTAAGCACTTTGGTAACAGTTGCTGTTTTAAATGTGCTTTATAAATAAATTTGACTTGACACAAAGTACAAAAGAAATAGTTTGACTGCAAAAAATATACGACACAAACTATAATCAGGAAAACAGAATGAGCAAAATGCCGGAGGCCTGGTTTGACCCATCAGCCGCTGCCCTCCTGCATGTGATCACATTTCAAGGGATCGTTTCTCTATTGAAGTGAAGTTTGTGGAAGTAATGGTCAGATAAAGTCTTTCCTGTAAGCTCAGTTTGGAGAAACAAAGTTTATTTCTGATAAGTGACGAGCTCGTGGCTAGTCTTGGTCTTGGCTGTGAAGTTCACTTTAGTTGAAGTTGTGGTCCAACTTCAAAATCATCTAACAGCTTGATAACTGGGTCAGAGGATTAGTCAAACAAACAGTAGTTTTCAGCGACGCAGTCGGGAGTCACCTGTAATTTTGCACCTTGTTCTGTTAATCTCAGCACGTAGATTAAAGGACTGAAGACGTTAACAAGGAAGGACATTTGTTGGAGAAAAATATTCTCACTTTATCTCACTCAAAAGGACACGCACTCGACGACAGGAGAAGATATTTAACCGGTATTTTACTTGGAAGGACAGATTATACAGATACACAGAAAATTATTCTTGTAAATGATTCCTCGAGGCTCAACAAGACTAACGTGTATGGATGAAGGTTGAATGAACACACACGAGCTGCGCGTGAAGCTTGTTTTTATAACCTTATCAGTTCAGCCGAGCTCACAGACTCGGAGCGACGGCTGCACGTAGCAGCTTCACCCAGCTCCTCATTCAGCTTTCTACTAACACAAACATATGGTTCATGGGCAGAGTAACATTCTCAGCCTTAGTAATAAAACATCCATCAACTTTGACCAAAACTTCCCTAACAACAGTACAGTGTTGAATGAACGTGAACCGTCTCCGTTGTTTTCAGCACACACGTGAAGGTGACGAGGAGGCCAGTTTCTGCTGTGGGACACAAGAGGCCAATCAGCCAATATGCACAGATGGCTGTCGCTGCAGCTTCTGAGGCCCCGCTGAGATATCAGGTCAGTGCTCACGTATTCTCGTTTGTACAGCCCTGTGTGCTGGAGACCTGTGAATGGGTTTTAATCCATAACTATTCAAAAGTCTAACATTCCTTTAAGGAATGCACATGGCCTGCTGCCAACAGCTTACTGCGATCATCTCATGATAAGTCGTGATGAAGCTGCTTAGCTCAAACTTCTTTAATGACATTATGAATCATCCATCCATCCATCCATCCATCCATCCATCCATCCATCCATCCATCCATCCATCCATCCATCCATCCATCATCTTTGACCCTCTTCTTCCTTTTCGGGTCACTGGTGTCCACATCCAGCAGTCACTGTGAGGCGGGGGCACCTCTCGACAATTAGGAAGATTTCATGCAGATGTCACACGATGTCATGGAGCTCTGAACATGTTTTGAGAATGACTCTCAGCTACAACTTTCAGTTTTAGCTCATCGTCTGTAAAATGAGCCGAGTTAGAGCTACTTTAGGTTTAATAATGTTGATTAGCTGCATCAGCCATCTGGAATGGGTTTGCCTCTGAAAGTTGATCAGATGCAGATGTCTGTTCAGTAATTACTTTCTGAAAGGAAGACCGTAAAGGTTTAAAGGTGGATCTGTTGTGACCTCATTATAGGCTGGAGACGACTTTCAACAAACATCACACCAAGTTTTGACTCGGTATCTATTAACAGGGTTGACTCAAAGTGAATCAGTTGTTTCATCTGTCCAGTGGTTCATGAGATGTTTTACAAACAAACAAACAAGACAAACAAACACATGCACACACAGGCAGGCAATGACAATTGGACTTTCCATACAGATTTGACCCAGAACTCGAGCCTGTTTGGACGTCTGTCCACATAACTCCATGTTTCCTGTCGTCTCCTGCTGCAGGCTGAGAACATCATGCTGCTGGAGCTGGACATGTCTCCACCAACCATGTTCTCCTTGAACCTAAACGGGGCTCATCTGGAGAGAGCCTTTTCTCCAAGACTGACGCTGGATTTCCCTGGAAATGTGCACGTTAGAGAAAGAACCAGTTCGTTGTCCCGCGTCAGAAAATCCCAGTCCTGGTAAGAAAAACGAGAGAAAAAGTCCAACTCCTAGAGTTAGTTTGGGAACAGTCTGTTCCCTGTTGAATAAGCCAAACACCTAGCGGCCCTTGAAGGAAATCGGTTTTGAACGAGTGATAGCTGTTACGGAAGGGGGAGTGGTGGCGCAGAGGTTAGAGAAGGTGTGCCTGTGACGGTCACTGGTTCAAGTTCGTAGTTTTGTCCCTGTACACACACAACCCACGGACACGTTACATGTGTGTGTTTTTGTGGACTGCAGGTATCAGGCACCACGAGGATCATCTGTCGCCTCATCTGCTTCATCAGCTGTTCTGACATCAGGACCCCAGAGCTGCTGTCCTTCACAGAGACAAAGACCGTCCTCCGCTGCCTATCCCTCCCCAGGATGTCCACTTCAGTCGAGCCCCTGACTGGTGGCGCTGCAGGGCGGGGCTTAACTTAAAATTTTAACTTAAAATAAGTTAAAATAATACATGGAAGAAGAGCTTGGGTTTGCAAAGTTACATCTGAAACATTCAAAAACCTCCAGTTCAAGAAGTTTTTGCACAAACCAGACCAAAGTATAAAAATCAGGTGAAGATGCAGAAGCAAACTAATAAAATCAGTTACAGAACATCAGCACCAACACCAAAAAACAACTCAAACACGGTGGTGGAAGGGGGATGGTTTGGGCTTGTTTTGACACCTGAGGAGCACCTAAATTGAATTAATAATTATTACACTAAATTGTTGCTGCTAAGTTTTTTTTTTTTTACCAATTAGTTTAATGTTCGTTTTTTTTTTAACTGCATTAACATTTTGACTATTTTATAAAAAATGAAAAGTTGTGGTTTTTAAGAACTGGCAAGGACATGATTAATTTATTTATTGTTCTGCCTATAAACGAACATGTAAAAGACTTGTTTTAACATAAACATCAGCTTTTTGTGTACCTTCAACATGTTTCACGCTTTTACCAGAACTGTTAAGGACGACTTTAGAGGCCGAGTTCTGTATTTTAGCTCTGGGAGCACATTTTGGTGTAGCTTTATGATTTGTTGCTTAAAATTTAAGTCGATGTAAAAGTGAGCCAAAAAAGGAGAAAGCTTTGCAGTGCTGTACAGATTAGCTGCCTTATTTTTTGTAAGTGTGCAAACTTCACATGCTGACTTTTAAAAATAAATTGTTTATTAATCAGTAACTTAAGAAGTTGTGGTTTTGTGGAAAAGCAGTGCGAATGCTGAATGTTTTCTCTGAAAACTGCTGAAGAAGCTGAAACTGAGTTGTTGCAGCTAAAAGAAGCAAAACATTAGCTGAAAGCAAAAAGAGGAAAAGTAACTAAAAGCTAAACCCCTGTCTGGCAACTTCACTGGTTCCCACTGAAATCTTGTCTTCCTCAGACTTATCGCCTACTCTTCTGAAGCCATCTACAGTCACCCCCTCCATATTTATCTGACCTTCTAGATGTCACTGCTGCTCTGCTCCCTCAGATCTTCGTCTTCACATCACATTGATATTTGCCCACCTCACCAGCATGGAGATTGCAGGGCATTCAACCGATCTGCTCCCGGACGTTGGAACACTAACCTCTGAATGAAGAAGGATCATCTCCCTCTTCAAAACTACTCATCTTTGTAGATCAGACTATACATACATACATACATGCATACATGCATACATGCATGCATACATGCATACATGCATACATGCATACATACATACATGCATACATACATGCATACATGCATGCATGCATACATACATACATACAT